GGTATCAGGGCTGAAGGTGCCTTAGAGGGTGACTGAGCCTTCCGGGCCCCCAGCGCCCCGTCTGTACCGACGATTTTGCTGATGTTTTCTTCGCAGGCACGAGTGTCCTCGCTCCTCACTTGGCCTCGGCACCAATTTCCTCTAAATCACCGAGTTGACGTGCTGATTGTGTCTCTCCCCCTCACACAAAACTAGCTGTGCAACCCCTAGAAGGAAAGCGCTCCTCGGGGGACCCCTGCAAGCGCCCTGCCCGCGGGACGGGCACCTGGGGCCCCGGTGGGCTGGGCCTCGCTGTTGCCCAGAACCAGGGCGGGACGGGGACGGGGACGGGCCGGGAAGCTGGCCGCCCCGCCGCAGCAACCGGAGGGCCCTTCGCTCCGAGCTCGGCTCCGTGCCTGGGGAGCAGAGACGTGGCTGCCCGAGGGAGCCCCCAAATCGTCACGGGGGCTTCAGGAATGGGATTCAGGGGAAGGGCCGGGATTTCCTGGAGCCCTAAGGGCCCCCGCCTCACCCCCGTCGAATCTTGACCGGATGCTGTACCAGTAACGATAGTGAAGTGAGAACAGCCGATACTCGCCGACGGCTTCCTTACGTGCCAGGATTGTCCCAAGTGTTTTATACACATTAACAACATTCCCTACACCAGCCCGATGAAGCCCGTAACTACCCCCGTTGCACAGTGAGGAAACACGGGCACCGAGGCTTTCAAATGTACTCAGACTTGCCTGCTAGTAGGTGGCAGGGTTAGCATTTGCACCCAGGCTTAGGGTTTGTGCTTTTTTTTTTTTTTTTTTTAAAAAAAAGATTTTATTTACTTATTCATGAGACACACGGCGAGAGAGGCAGAGACACAGGCCGAGGGAGAAGCGAGGAGCCGGATGCGGGACTCAATCCCAGGACCCCGGGATCACGCCCTGAGCTGAAGGCAGATGCTCAATCGCTGAGCCCCCCAGGTGGCCCGAGTTCCTGCTGATAACTGCCTGCCCCACCTGCTTTACCAAGTGGAGGACTGGTCTTGCGGGGAGATTCCAGTCCAGCCCCTCCAGCCGTCTCGGGCGGAGGAGCACTTACCACGGGCTAGGCCCCGGGCCACGGTACCATTAGAGGAGGGGACTGGCTCAGAGGGGCCAAGGGCTGGCCGAAGAAGCCGGGTCCATTCCAGCACCTCGGCCCGCACTCCCACCACCCACCCTGCTGGCTCCCTGGTGTCGGAGTCACCTGTGCGTAGAAGGCAGATGCTCAGAAAGAGCAATGCAGAGGCCTAGGCAACCCCTTCCACCCCTTTGACCAATGGCTTCAAGCTCTGCGTCCTCCTCGGTCCGCCAGGGCAAGTTAGTGAGCAGTGGGAGCGGGTGAGAAGCCTGAGTCCGCTTCCCCCAGTGCCTCCTGCCCGGGGCCCAGAGCCTCGGGGGCATCTTAGGATGAACCGCGTGGCTCGCCCCTGTGGCCCCGTACCCACCTAGGTGAGTGCACCTGTGGAGGGCCCTTCAGATCCTCCCTACCAGCGGCCCCATCCGGCAACTCTGCCAGTTTGTTCTGGGGCTAAACGCTGGGGTCCAGGCAAATCATGGCGTCAAGACTTACAGGCCTCAAGCTTAGGAAACAGGGGAGCCCTCTATGGTGCTGAGGGAGGGAAGTGGCATGATCCTGAGAGAAATGCTGAAGGTGTGAACTGGGGAGTGGTAGGTGGTTCGGGCGGAGAAGGGGACAGGCTCCTGAATTACAGTTTGACCTTTGCACAACGTGGGGGTCATGGGCGCTGACCCCCGGTGCAGCTGAAAATCCGCATATAACTTTCGACTCCCCTAAAACTTAGCTACTGATAATTGCTGTTGATTGGGAGCCTTACTGATGACACAAAGAGTTGACTAACATCATGTATTTGGCATGTTATATGTAGCACATCCTGTATTGCCACTATAAAGTAAGCTGGAGAAAAGAGAATATTAGGAAAATCACAACGAAAATACACGGACAGTACTGTGCTGTAAAAAATCCACATACAGGTGAGCCCGCGCAGTTCAAACTGTTGCTTTGAGCGTCAGCTGTACTTGAAAGTCAAGAAGTTGGGACTTTTTGAGTGACTGGGCCCAAGCACTGCAGAAAAAGGAAGAATCAAGAATTGAATGACCTCTGGGTTTCTGGCTTGAACAAGTTGGTGGGCGGGAGAACCACCACCTCAGATAACGAATATAAAAGCCAATTAAAGGTGAGCTTAATCTTGGACGTGCGTATTTTGACAGGTTTGAGGCACCCAATGGGAGGGCCCGGCTGAGAGCCAGGTGGACGAGCCTGGAGCTCCAGGGTTGGGTCTGGGCTGGGGACAGAGAGTTTAGAGTCAGTATCAGAAAATCGCAAAGAACGGACTTTCAGGGAAAGTACTTAGATATTAAATACTAGGTTGAGCCATGGAAGCCTGAGAAGCAGCAAATAGGGAGACGTGAAGGGATGGCCAGAAAGGGCAGGGGGGACCGAAGAGGCAAGGTCCCGGAAGTCAAGTGGAGAATTCCATGGAGGAGGAAGGATCACAAACCAGAGGGGCGGGAAGGTAAGAACCAAGGACATGACAACTACAGTCATCAAGGACCCTGCCCCCGGAGGGCTTGGGGTCAAGGACCGGAAGGGAAGGTGGAGGGAGTGTAGGCAGGTAGTAGACTCCGCGGTGGTCGGAGGTGGACGCGGGGCCCATGAAGTGTCTTTGTAGGGCAGGAGACCTGAACCTGTTAATAGGCTGAGAAGGACCAGGGGACAGGGCGAGGCTGGGAGACCCTAGAGGTCCCAGGAAGAAGGGGGTGGGTGAGTTGGCTTAGAACAGGGAGGACTCACTAACCCCAGAGCACAGCAAGGAGGCCAAGAGAAGTAGGAAGAGAAATGCGCAGAGGCAGATAAGCAAGCTTGGAGAGCACATCTACCCGCCTTGATTTTCTTGAAGTAGGAAGGTAAGATTTGGTGGGGGGGGGGGGGGGAGGGCAAATAGAGGAAGGTTGCCTAGTGACCTCCAGAAAGAGCGAGGTGCAAGGATGGCGCCCCCGCCCCTACAGGGAGGTGGGGGGGGTGGAAACTGCAAACCCCTAGTCCCTCCTAGGAGAGCAGAGCTGCCCAGGACGGCTGGGGGCTTGCTGGGGGCTTGCTGGTGAGCCGTAGGGAGGACGCGAGGGAACAAGAGCACGCGCGAGAGGGAGTGGGTCCGAGGGAGGCGTGGAGACTCCATGGCCTCTCCTGGTCCTTTCCCTGCGCCACTTCCCTTTGAGCCACACGGGCACGGGCGCTAGCCTCAAGCGGCGGTGACCAGCTCTGAGGCTCGAGTCCCAGGGCCCAGCCCAACGGTGTCTTGCAGGCGGGTCCGACCCATCACAGAACAGCACGTCTGGTGGGTTAGACGGGGGACACAGGGCTCCTGAGCCCACGGACACTCAGGTCTTCCCAGGGGGACGGGATGGAGTCGCTTCTCATCTTCCCCACCCCGGGCCGTGCGGGCCTTCATCCCTGCACCAGGTCTCCCTCTGCTGGGCTCCCTGTTCTCTCGTCATCCACAGGTGACGTACACCCCGGAATAGTCGTCTAAAAATCGATTTCGTGTAGATGTTTGGCTACTACTTGAATTCTCAGGTAGAGTGAACGGTCACCCTGATTTTTTACATTAATTTATCTTCATATACTTGGCTTACTTCTGAGGACAGCTGCTTGCTTCGAATCAGATCTTTAAAACCACCAAGGACTGGGTGGGTCATCTGTGGGGCTTAACCAAGACTCGGGCGCGAGTGCGCAAGGTTTCCTCCAGTTGGGGTGGTTTAGTGGCGGCCCAGCAGCGTCAGGCACCAATTTGTGGACTGGTTTGTTCTCAATGACACACCCATCTGCCCACCTTTGAAAAGACCCAATTTTGCCTGCCTTTAAAAAAAAATCATTATTTTAAAGATTGTATTTGAGAGACAGAGCATATGTGTGCACGGGGGGGGGGGGGGGGAGCAGCAGACTCCCCGCTGAGCAGGGACCCCGGTGGTGTGGGGCCCTCGGGGGCTCGACCCCAAGACCACGAGGTCACGACCTGAGCCGAAGGCAGCCACTTAGCCGACTGAGCCACCCAGACGGCCCCGTGCGCCTCCTGAAGCAAGAGCATCCCCGCCGTGAAAGAATTACAACCGAATTGCCGAGCGGGCACCGCCAGGCAAGCGAAGGGGGCAGACGCACAGCTGCCAGGCCGGCTCCTCCGCCCGGACTCCATCCGTGGCACACGTAGCTCCTGCCAACCCCCCGTAAACGTTCACGCTGGCCCGGCCCTTCTGTGCAGGATCCCAGAATCGTTCTGGGCCCTTCCCAGGTGTGTCCCTTGCTTGCTTTCGAGGCCGACTCCCAAGTCTCCGAAGTTCTTCTCCAGAGCCCCATCTGCACGTCAACCACCGACCCCCCCCCCCCCCGTCCCCTTTAGAACTGGGCTTTGAACTGGGGCAACGGAAATGCCCACCTCCTCCCGTTGTCCTCCCGGCCCCCACCTCTCACCGACAACCCAGCAGGGGCTCCACACAGGCTGCTTAACACCCGTTTGCTGGCACAACCCCAGGGGGCAGCAACTTCAATTCGCTCCAGCTGGTCCCTCTGGGCGTGTGCTGGGACAGGGTGGAGGGCATGGCCCGTGACGGCGCACACACCTGCGTCTCCCTGCTGCCCCAGCCCTGAGTAGCTGCGGGTTTTCGTTAGGGAAAACTTTCGGGTTTTGCAGTGAGCACTTTTTACTTTATCTGTGAAGATGCTGACACTGGGCACCGTTCAGTCTCCCACAAAGATGAAGCACAACATCTCAGGGTCATTCCCGGGGGCCGGTGGACAGAGCTTGTGAGGAGCCCGTCCCTCTCCCCAGACCCGCCCCCCCCCGGGCCCTACCACAGCCACCCGGTCGGTCTGGGCCCTGGTGTTCAGCCGGACCTATTAGGGTTGCTCTCGGTCCCCTCCTGGGATGCAGTGAAACACTAAGTTCTCTAGATCTCTTGAAGTCTAGAAAGTGGGAGAAATAAGACAGTTTAATGATGGCTTCCTTGGTTTACAGACAACAGGAGGACAAACGTTTCTCTCCATGCACTGGTGCAGTGAAATCAGGTGAGTGGCAATCCCAGGACAGGAGCCATGGAACTCAGAGCCACCGCTCAGCCTCTCAGTCGCGTGGTCCCACCAAGTGTCGGCTCAGCAGCGGCAGACAAGGGGAGGCGGGGACGGCCTGGCCTCCCGGGGCGGGAGTGAGGGGCCAGGTGCCGCAGCAAGCGAGGGGCGCGGCACTGCCCCGTGCTGGTGGGAGAGTGTGGGGGAGGGGGCGGGGAGCCAAGCGCCGGGACCACAGGGAACAGCTCGGTGGCATCAGCTGTCCCATCAGAGCTACCCTGGGGGCCGGAACCAGGCTGCGCTGGGGGGAAGGCGGCCGTAAGAGCCACGCAGAAGAGGAGCACATGCTGACCGCCTTCCTCCCGCGCGCCGAGCTCCTGGTGACCCAGCTGCACCTGGCAAGGGGAAGAGCGCTCCCGAGATCTGGAGCCGGAAGGCGGGAAGGGTGAAGGAAGGAGGCGCAGACCGCCTCAACCCCGAGGCCACCCGCAGGGTCGCCGCCCCCTCCCCTCGAGCCCAAAGCCTTGAGCAGGGACCCCACCACTCTTCCCGGATTCAACCAGCTAAGGAGAGGGAGAGGGAAGAAGGCCTCGGGCTTCTCAAGAGAAGTCCTGGCAGGGGGCGGTACTGGGGGGGGCAGCCCCAGGAGCTGGAAGCCGTGCGCCCTGGTCCTTGAGCCCAAGCTCGCCGGCCCGTCTAGCTGAGCATCTTGTGCCGATCGAAGACCGTCTTCCGCTGCTCCTGCACCTGCAGCTTCCACCGCTGCTGAGCGCCCTCCACCCGCTCCAGGACGGTGTTTGCTCGAGGGCCCCCAAGGGAGGCGGCGGCTGCCATAGAGCGAGCATCCTGTAGGGGGGAGACAAGGGGGAGAAGAGTCAGCACCGCGGGCCAGGGCGGGGCCCCGAAACCCCACACAGAAAGGATGCCCTGGGGCAAACCCCAAGGCTGAGCTCCCCCACGTGGAGGCTGGGGGCGCCGCTCAGCGTCCGGAGACCGTGTAGGGTGGGGCCTGGGGTCGGGGCTGCGGGAGGGGTGCCATCTGGGGCCCCAGTGACCACGAGGCCGCACCCCGCTGGCCTATTTCCGACCCTCAGGACAAATACTGAGTTGCGGCCTCAGGACCTCACTGGGTCAGCGCAGAGGCCCTGGCGCCGTCCGTGGCTTCAGGGAAGGCATCTGTGCGCCCCAGGGCACCCCGGAACGCCTCCACCCTGCCTGCCACTGCCCAGGGACAGCAGGAAGGCCCAGAGCGAGGGCCTGGCTGCCCTGAGCAGGCGGCACGTGTGTGCCCGCGGGGAACATGGGCCCACCGTCCCCGGGAAGGAACGGATGTCCCTCACTTCTGCCCGAAGGGAGTCAGGCAGGGATGGAACCTCGGGGTCCACTCCCGGCACTCCCGGCCTGGAGCCTGCCTGGCCCACCGCCCGCGGACAGGCCAGGGTAGCTCAGCAATTCTCCGTGTGCCCCACGGAGCCCCTTCCCCTCCGCCCGCGGAACCGCTTCTGTTGTCGGAGGCAGCAGCTCCCCTAATTACCACCTCTCTGCCTCTGAAGCTCCGGAGCCCGTGCATTTCCTGAGGGACCCCAACCTGATCTTTGGGGGGAATTAGAGCCGAGGGCCAGGCCCACACCCCCGTGGGGATTTCCTCCCTCGCTCTCCCTGCCTCTCATCTCCTGCCACACATCTCTTAAGGGATTAGCGCACCTCTCTAAGCCCAGAGCCGCCCAGTAAATGCAACTTTGCTTCTAATGCCCCGCGCTGGCACGGCTTCTGTCGCCCTGCAGCTGCCAGGCTGGGGAGCCGGGAGGGGCGGTTAGGTGAGAGTAGGGGAGAGCGAGCTGGCAGGTACAGAGAGGTGGCCGGCTAGGGGTGAGGCTGGGGGGTAGCGCAGGGCTGCAGCGAGCTCTGAGTCGCTGTCTCATGAGGGCCACTGCCTCCCGGGGAGCCCTGGGCCTGGACCCCCCAGGACGGCCTCCCGGTCCGCCCAGCTGGGGATGGCGGCGGCGACACCGGGGACGCGGGTGCAGGCAGTGTCAGGCAGGGAGCGCACCGAGCCCAAGGTCAGGACTCCTGGGTTCGGGGCTTGGGCCCCCAGGAGATCTGGCTCGGAGCCCAGCTGGGAGCTGGGACAGAGGCAGCGCCTCAGCCACCGAGCGGCTTTAGGTCCCCGGACAAGTGGCTATTTCTGCAAACGTGAGCTGAATAAAGCCGGTCTTAGATGGTTTTGACTGTCCTGTCGGCAGGAATTGCAAGTACCCGATGACCCCAGTGCGTGTGCACAGACACCTGCACACACACATAAAAGAACCGTCGTGTAAGACACTTGGCCTGAGGCCGCTGATGTCCCCTGCTCTGCGACGCCGGTCGTGACTCACTACACTGATTTCACGACTTGACGGCTGGTGACCCACGCTTTGAAAAACATGGTTCGGGATTCAGGAGATGGGAGTGTTGAGGTGAAGCAAAGCGCCCCGTGTGAAGCTCCTCGCACGCTGGCCTTCACGGACGAGGAGCTCGAGAAACGTCCCCGGCTCCTCCTTCCCTGGTGGCTCAGCTCCGTGGTTCAGAGCGCCCTGGCGTCAAACGCACCTGCTCCGCACCTTGGCTCCGACGCCTCCTGGAAGCGACCCTGGGCAAAGCTAGCTCCTCTGAGCCGACGTCCCTGCCGCAGGACGGGGACCGCAAGAGCGGCCTCTCAGCGAGACACCCGAGCGGAGCCTTCCGCAGCGCCGGGCCGACGGCAAGCGCTCGACTCGCAGCAGCAATTCGTCGCGTCAGGGGCCAGCTCTGGGGTCCACCAGGCGGGAGAAAGGGGGAGACAGCTGGCAGCCTGCTGCCGCCGGGAGCTGCCTCGGAGAAGCGACCGCGGTCGATTCCGCTCCTTCCTGGCTCGGCTGCGCCAGCTGGGCGCTACAGGGGGCCAAGGACAGGCCCCGGGGCGGGCGGCCGTGTAGGCGCGGCGGGCACTGAAGACCCACCGGGGCCCGGCGCTGTCCTGGCTTCGGGGCCGAAGGGCCTTGTCCTCCCCCCGCCTCTCATCTGGTCCCCAGTGCCAGGCTGAGCCCCGGGGGCAGGCCTGGAGGGACACACCAGCCTCAGCCCTGCGTCTCCCGACGGCTCGGCAGCTCCAGGGAGCACCTTGAGGAGGGGAAGGCAGAGGAAGCCAAGAGCAGAGCATTACGGAACACGCCGAAGTTCACCGCAGGACCACATATCATTTGTTTCCCCTTCATGTAAAGTCTTAACAAGCAGCTCCTAAGTGGGGGAAAGCTGCTGCTGAGAGGCTCCGTGTTTCCACTGCTAATAGTCCGATTAAAAGGTATTAAAGCTTCCACGTGTGTTCTAGAGGCGGCCCGGAGTGGGGCCTCATCCTAGCCTGCTCCGCCGCGGGACGGCAGCTGGAGGCGCGGGAGAAATCACACGGTTCCTGCCCCTTCCCTCTGAGGCGGGGTCTCCGGGGACGGCAGGGACGCAGGGCGGCAGCCAGGAGCGGGGAGGCACCTGGGTCCCGGTGGGGGCTCCGGGGGGGGGTGCCCCGTGGGACCAGGCCGGCATGACGATGTCACTGTGTGCCGGGGGCTCTGCTTCTGCTGAGGGCTTTACATGGGTCATCCGCAGGCTTGGGCTTACGGGGTAACGTCACTTCCGCTGCAGACAAGGAAACCGAGGCCACGCGAGACGAGCCATGTGGCGGCTGAGCGCGGGGTGCCGGCGTCTCTCCGGTCCCAGCACTCTGCTGGGTGCTCCTGCGGCGGCTGGCTGCTCAAAGAAGCGAGCTGGTATCTCTCCACGGGGCCAGACTGAGCACCACGCGCCGGCAGAGGCCCCGGGAATCGGGGACTTCGAGCCAGGCCCTCCTCTTGTCTGGCCTGGGAGGCCCCAAAAGCTGGTGCGCACGGGCCAGAGCGGACACCACCGTCAAGGTGGCCCAGATGCACAGGCTCTGGTTCAGAGACAGCCCTGGGTGGGGCCGAAGCCCCTCTGATGACAAGGGGACCAAGGACAGGAATGCCCACCCCCGCGGCGGGCCCTCCACCCTTTCCCCAGTCCTGGGAGCGGGGGCAGGGCAGGCGGCGCTGTCTCCGACTGGTCACACGGCTGCGAACAGCCCAGGTGCCAAGCCCCTCACAAAGGGGGCTCCATGGCCTCCCTCAGTTTTCCAAGTGTAACCCCAATCCATCCCGCTGGAGCCCACCCCACTGCTTCTCTGCTGCAGAGCTCTCTGTGCCTCCCCGACGCTGCCAGCCACCTCGCTGGGGCCCCCAACGCCATGCCCCCCACGCAGAAACCCCGCCCGCGGCCCCGGCCCTGCAGCCACCCAGGCCCACGTGGGGCCCTCACGGCCAGGCCTCTGCTCCTGCTGCCCCAGGCCTTCCCTCCAGCAATCATCAAGCTGCTGACGTGCTCAGAGCCTGCAGACACCGCTCGTGCTTCAGGACGGGCAAACCCTCGTCAAGCGGGCACACGCGTCATCACGACGACACTGAGGCCAGAACGAGTAACAGCCGTTCCCGACGGAGGATGCGCCGGGAGGTCGTGCGCCACGGCTACTGGACGGCACACCGGACCCCAGCCCCGAGCTCTGCCTCCAAAGCCCAGCTCCCAACGACAGTGCTGGATGCTCGACAAACGGCCACGGAACCGCAGTCGTCTGTCCGTCCCCAGGGAACCGTCCCCATCAGCACGTCCTCTGCAAGGTTCTCCGGCAGCCTCCTGGGGCGAAGGGTCAGCCCAAGCGCGGCCTGACCACCGCGGGGCCCTGGGCCTTCCCGTCCCCGTGTCCCGCCGTGCCCCGGCCATCTGGGGTGGGTTCCCCTAGCGTCCCTCTCGCACTGGGGCCTCGGACTGTACCCACCCCCGTGGGGGAGGCTTCTGAGGACCCTCAGAGCTCGGGGCCACGCTGCGAGGAGCAGAGACACGCAGCCTCACGGAAACCCTTCCTTCTCTCTCTTCAAAGGGGGCCAAACCCGTACATCTAACAAGCTCTGTTTGCTGTTTCTGTCCCAGCAAACATGCTTGCTTCCTCCTTTCAAAGGGCGTCTGAGCCCGGGGATTAGGCCTAATGCCGCCGGAATCCCAGGGGAGGCAGCCTGGGCAATCAGGGCCCACCGAGGCCTGCCAGCACTTTCAAAGGGAACACGACAGGCTTTCATCTCCCTCCTGGGGCGCTGGGGCCGGGGCTGTGGGGGAGGCCTCCCTTCCTCTTCCAGACCTCTCGCCCCAGGGCAGGAGAGCTCCTGGCTACAGGAATTGGGGGAATGGAGCCGAGCGCCCCCAAACCTGAGAAGTGAGCCAATCCCCAGATCGCCTCTCTGACTGGATCCCAGGCGTGGGGCGGGGGCCCTGGAGCCTCCTCCTCAAGGTCACGGAGCTGCAGGGGCCTAGGCTGACACTTAAGGGACCTGAGAGGTCCTGCCCGTCCTTTCTTCCTTTGGGAGGGAAGGCCAAATCCCTCACCCAGCGGAGACCCCATCCTGCTTGTTTCCTTCTTAAGGGAAATGCTCCGTAGACACTCATGAACCCAGAGGCCAGGTGGCCGAGGGACCTGCTCTCCCAGCCCCACCCCCGTGTCCCCACGTGCACTAAGCGAGGGGGGTCAGCCGGGCACCCCTCGCCGTCCAAGACTCGGGGCACCGGGTATCTGGAGAGACGAGATCTTCAGTCTCCTATGCATCCTCCGAAGACCGCCTCTGCCAGGAAGCCTTCCTTCCCAGACTAACAGGAGGCAAAGTCCCCAGCCCCTGTCTAACAAAGAGCTTCCCAGAGCACCTAGCTTTCCCCCCACTGCCCATCTCCTAAAACCTCGTCTGGCCTTTATGGCCGCGGCTCATTCACTTGGTTTGGGCTCCGTCTTGGGGCTTCAAGCCCCGAAGGCAGTCAGGAGGTCTGAAGTCTACACGGTGCCACCTGCGGGATTTGGGAGGCCAGTGGGAAGAAGAGAAGCCATGTTCATGGGAGAAAAACGGAGCTGCTGACCCCCCGGGGGGGAGGACCTACAACACCCAAGTTGGGGACAGCACAGAGAATCAGGAGGTGAGGGGGTGGGGCGCCAGGCCACGCGCTGGGACTCAGGGGCGGTGTGTGCAGACCCCGCTCACAGCTGCCCTAAGGTGCTCCCTTAGCCACCCTCCTGTACCCAGAGGCCGCACTCTGCGCCCCCACTCCCCCGGTGCCTCTGGTCAGGGCATCAGAGACGGAACACCTCGTAGTACCTTCTAGAACGTCGGGGTAGGAGGTGAGGGGGTGTCATCCACCCCACCTCTGTCTCCTGGCAGGAAATCTCCCCTATGGTGTGCAGCACAGGCGGGCTTGCCAGCTTCAGCGGGGGAGCCGCCTAGGACACCCCACTGCCCCCGCAGACCCCCACGACACACGGCCAGAAGGCACCTCCCCGTAGGACAGCCCTCCTTCCTACTCGGCCAAAATCTGCATCCAGGGACTGTCCACCCTTGGGTTCGGGACCTGCTCTCAGGCACTGATGACCAAATCAAACCCCCGCCCCCACCCCCATAAAGCCCCCCACAGGAGCAGAGGCAGCTGGGACGTAAGCCTCAGAGTGGGAAGCACCCAGGTCACCTGGGCGAGAGGGGCCCGGGCCCAGCCCCAGGGACGGAGGCCACCCTCCCCTCTGGCACCACATCCAGGACGGCAGGAGACACAGCAAGGCCATGCCCGAGAGCCACGCATTCCAGAGGAGTCGCCGCGCGGGCTGTGTAATCACGGGGCTGCATCTCTCAATTACTCCCCCAGCCAGGACTGCAATTACCACATTACCCCTAATCACCGAGTGTTTATTAGTGATGCTCCTCCCCATCAGAGCTGCTATTACTGCACATTAATAACCAGGTAGGCACGCGAGGTTTCCTCTTGAACACAGACCACCCAACTGCCAGCGCCACCACCTCTCGGGCCCCAGCTCCAAGGGGCGAGGCTCATCCTCTCTGCTCCCCCTTTGGCCAAACTCGTGTCAGCAGGAGCCTGGGGGCAGGCTGGGGAGGGCCCGGCACAAACCCAGGAGAAGCAGCGGGGCCGTGGATGGTCAGGCCCCCCTCCTTCCCCAGCCTCGTCGTCTCACTTACGCCGGCCCAGACTCACGACGCCCGAAGGCTGCGCGCTGAGATGGGAGCCCGGACCCTGTTGGTGGGGGGCCTGGCCGTTCCCACCTGCCGCCCGGGGTCCACATGCTCAGTGCTGACCGCCGGGGGGCAGCTGAGCCGATGTCTGGCCATTTCTGGCGACCCAAGCACACTGGCTCCCTCGGAAGCCGTTCTCCCGTGTCGTCCGGTGGATGACATCCTTCCCACGTGTTAAATCTCCCTCTTAACTCCCCGCTGTGGGTCCTTTGCCCCTGGCCTCACCGGCGGGGAGACGAAACACCCGAAGGCTGCTGTCACGTACCTCCTAGAGTTTTGGCTTATTATTATTATTTTTTTTTTCCCAAGCTAAGCATCTCCCAGTGTCTTCAACTTCGCCCGGGACATGCTGAGATGCGCCACCCTAAAAGCCCCTCGGTACACGTGCTGGTTCACGCGCTCCATCCGTTTCCTTCCCGCAGCAGACTGGTCCGTGCTTTCTACAACTTCCTGGAGCCTGGGCTCAGGGTAAAGCACGGCGGGGAGGTCTGGCCTGCCCTCGGGTACCCCCGGCCCGGCGGCGGTGCTCTCCCAGGATTGCGGAGCTCTGGGCACCCGGCGGGGGGGCCGCCCACCCTGGCCAGCTGCACACACTTGCCGTCTCTCCTCCACCCAGCTCCGGCCCACTCAGGGCATCCTCTGCAGGGCACCCGAAACCCCTCAGCACGGGGACAGATGGCGGAGGGTGACGGTGGCTGCCGGGCATGCAGGGCCCGGCCCGAGCTCCACCAGCCCTGACCAGGGGGGTCTGGGGGCTGCCCGGCGGCAGTGGCTCCCCATCTTCCACATCTAATGAAGTGGAAACTCCTTAGTCTGACTTTGGAGGCCAATAACCGTGCGGCCTAAAGCTATGGGCCGGCTCTGTTTGCCGCCATTCCTACGTGCTTACCCCAGCCCCGAAACGCTCCAGGTCCCTCAAGCACCTCAGGCCCCGCAGGCTCTTAAAATCTGACTTTTCCCTTAAGGTGCCCGGGTTGTGCTCTGCACCAAGCGGGCGCTCAACAGAGGTCTAGAGTCCCAACCTGCTCTCTGCAAGCCCGCCGCCAACTCGACACCAGTGTCCAAGCCACCAGGACACCACGCGTGTTTGCATGTGACTGGCCCTGGTCGGTGGGCTCCCCTCAGCCCAGGGAGGCACAAATGGGAACACCTGGGCCCCCGGTGCATGCACGGGGGCGGCCTGATGCCAGGCAACAGGCAAAGTGCAGAGCCAGCTCCTGCTTCACCTGCAAGTGCAGAGGGCAGCTCCCTGCTGAGGGAAGCTCTGGGGTCCGGGGGGCATGTGGGCCACCGAACAGGAGAAAAGCAAACTGGCGCGTGGGGGAACGGGGACACGGACCCTGCCTGGGCCCCCACATGTGGGCGGAGCTTGGGGCAGAGCTCGGGCAGGGCCCTGGCGCCCAGGAACCTGCTTACCTCATTCTCCTCTTCATTGCGCAGCTGCTCGGTGTAGGCGTCCGGCTTTCGAATGAGAGGGTCCACCAGCATCAGGAAGGCCATGTAGAGCAAGAGGGCCCCCACCACTGACAGGTAGATGACAATGATGACCTGGGGGAGAGAGCCAGCTTGCCCTGTGACTGACACCCCGGGGCCAGGACGGCCATGCACATTCAGGGGCAGGGGCTCTCTCGAGAGCTGCGGGCGTGGAGGGAAAGACAGCGGGGACGAGGCCCTATTCCACATATTTAGCAGCTTTGCCCTAAACTGAGGGGATCCCCCAAGAACAGTAGGCACAAAAACAACAGATAATGAAGGAAGATGTCTGGATCCTGCCATCCCAAGGTGCCCCCAGGGGTGGGGAGTGGGGAAACGGGACCCACCTGGCTCTAAGAAAGGGTGGAAAGCAATCGGACACAAGGGAGGAATAAGGAAGAACCGGCTGGTGAGGCCTGAGGCTGAGACCGGGGCACGACGAGGGCGCACTGCCCACGGCCAAGGGCGGGACGGATGGGTGGGGAGGTCCGGTCCCGAGAGGGCGCACCAGTGGGTGGGGGGACAGGCTGGCAGGGTGTGTGCTGCTGGCTGGAGGCCACAGCCCCCCATCAGTCACCCGCACGGGGCAGGATGACAACATCCCGAGTCCCTCACGCATGGAGAGGCTCACAAGCTGGAGTGAATTCTGTTTTCCAGGAAAGACACATTCAGCGAGGCGAATTCAGGGCTCCCCAGAGTGGAGCTCTGGGCATCCGAGTCAGGACCCCCCAAGACACTCAGCAGCCACGGGCCCTGTAACGGCGTCACCCATACGCCTCTGTGCCTGGACCTCAGGAGCACCTTCACTCGCGTCTGAAGGCCCGCTGGGTGGCCGGTACTCCCCTGACGGAGAACCACGAGCCTGAACCACTCAGCCTAGGTCCCAAGGTTGGCAAATGGTAGAGACGTAACCTGAACTCAGATTCACTGACTCCGGCTCACGTGCTCTCTACTTCCACGACGCCTGGCCGTCGCTGGCTTCTGATCCCCTACCTTGACCCCAAATGGGACGGCGATTATGGATAAAAGAAGCAAACCTTGGGACTTTTGGGTCAAAGCCCAGCTCAGTCAAAGGTCAAGTTCCACTGGACCAACTTCCTCCCTGACTGGGGCAGCAGCGTCCGAGCCTCTTTAAACAGGTGAATGGTCAGACCTCTTGGCCGTACCCCGGGAAGGGCAAGGGGACTGGAGGCGGAGTCTCTAGGAGGCTGAAGCTGGGGCCTGGGGGCCTCCCAGGGAGGAGGACTGGAGGGAAATCTGAGGATTAGGAAGTCCCTTTCTGCCAAGTAGGGAAGGCGACACCTGGCTGAGCATCCAGTCTCCGCCATCTGGTCCCCAGAGCGGGGGAGCCCTGGAGCACGTTCAGAGCAGGAGAAAGACGCTCCGGGAGGGGCTGGCTCAGGCGGGAGGATAAAAGCAGATGAGTGTGCACAGCTTGACGGGGCGAGGACTGACAAGTGGGGGACAGAAAGGTGAGGCCGCGGAGGACCACAGGACAGGGAAGGAGCGGCCGGCCCCGGTCTGGGCAGGACGGCAGCAGGGAGCTTCCCCTCCCCTCCTGAGCCTCAGAGGCAGAACCTGACGGACCGGGCAGTGTCGTTAAACTCAGTTCCTTTCTCGATGCTATTTCTAGACTCTCCATGGGACCAGCAGAAGTAAGCTTAGAACCTGGCCGGGAAGAGCGAGCAATCGGTACGTGGGGCCTAGCCCAGGAGCTGGAAGCCGGACTAGGAGACCCGGGGAGGCTCTGGGTGGCCGAGCCTCTGGAGTGAGCCGTGGTCCTGCGGAGCCCGCTAGTGGCAGAGGAAAGGACCAGGCCCCTGCCCCGCTCGCTATGACGGTGACCACGTCTACCACTTCTCTCCTGAACTCGCCCAAACGGCCTGCGAGAACGGGGTTCAGGGCCCAAGCCCCTCCTGCCAGGCCCCACCGCACAGACACCCAGCCCTGGCCCACAGCTCTCGGGGTGGGGGGTGCGGGGGGTGCGGGGGTTTCAGGGGTCTGAGCTCACCGTGGAGGCTCAGTTAGATGGGTTCTTCTGGGAGGGCGGGCTTACTGCTCTATCGGCAGCACCCTGCACGGCGCCCAAAGCTGAAAAGGCACCTCAGAGAGGCTAACTGAACAAAAGGAAGAAAGAAGGGGGAAACTGGAAAGAACAGGAGGAAGAAAGTGACGTGAAGCCCCTGTCCCAGGTTCCCAGCGCCACCTCCCAGCCCCGTGTAATGGGAGCCACGGGACAGATGGAGAGGACACAGCTGGCTCCAAGAGGTGTGGGACGCTGGGGTGACTAGGCCGGCCCAGAGGCCAGTCCCACAGCCACTTGGAATGTTCCAGAACACAGCAAAAGACTGTGGGTGCTGGGCAGCCAGGAGTGGGGTGGGCCCGCCCCGCCCCCCGAGGCCCGGGCTACCTTGATGGTGGTGGTGCTGCGCTCCTCGTACTTGCACTCGCACAGCAGGCAGTAGGCCTCCACGTCGTGGCCGGGCACCGGCATGGGCTCCACCACGTGCAGGCAGTTGCTGCAACAGAGACAGACGGGGCGGTGGGCGTGGGGGTGGGGGTGGGCAGAGGCGAGGGTGCGCCTGGGGCCGGGGGCGCCGTAAAGCGCCAGGTGGGCAGAGCCCTTTCCCAGCACCTGTCCGGGGCCCACCCCGGCCAGCTCTCCAAGGGGCGCCCAAACGTCTGCCCTCGGCGGCCTCCCTGTGTCAGGCTACGCCCCCCAGCGCACGGGCTCATCCTGCTCAAGGGTTCCCACGGCAGAGCTGGTGGGGCCGAGCCTGGGGTCTCGGGCCTGAATCCCTAGTGAGGACCACCCCCCGGCACGGCTCCAGCCGGCCACCCACTACCCACCACGGAGCGGCCCACGGGGGCCACGCACCCCTCGTCCACCCTTCCGCTGTCTGCCCCAGCTCCCCGGTCCCGGGGTCTGGGTCCCCCACGGCAGGGAGCACCCCTACCACCCCCGCCGCTGACCAGGTCCTAACGTGGCCATCACCTCGACACAGCCTGTTCCTCTCACCTGTGAACCCACCCAATGCCACTGATTTTACCTCCTTAAAAATTTCGAAGACACAGCTTCTCTACTGGCTCCATGCCGTGTCCTAGCTGAAGGTCTCACCACTCTGCCCCGGACCGGGGACCCAGCCTCCCCACCGGGCCTGTGCCGGTTCCCCACCGGGCAGCCAAGCGGTGTCAGCAGAGGGAAACTCAGTCACCTCACCCCCCGGCCCCCCAAAGCCTACAGCTGGTCAGTCCCTCTGCAGGCCTCTACGGTGAGGACAACCAAGCTGCTCCCCGCGGGTACGTACGGCTGCACCTCACGCCACGGCTGCCTACCTGTCCAGCTCCGTCCCTGCCCCTCGACACCCACTCCCCGTCCTCCAGCTGATCTTCTGGACTCTTCTCTGAAAGGGCCACGCTCCCCTCCCTGACACAACTCTCGCCTTCTGCCAGGAGCATGGCTTTGCCCCCTGCCCTCTCCATGCCCTCAATCCTACACGTCCTTCGAGATCCAGTCCAAAGTTCTGACCTGTCCCCACAGCAGCCAGCTCCCCACGCTCATCTCTATCACAGCACTGACCTCCCGCACTGTAATCCCACCTTTATGCCTTCAGTCTCCCCTGAGCGGATGCTAAGGTTCTTGAGGACAGAGGCCATCTCCATATTCCCAGCACCCAGTGCACTGCTGGGAGAGCACGGCTGCCTGAGTAAGGGACTGCCACAGGAGGCCCACATGTCCTAACGGTACGCCCACCTGGCCCCCGGGAACCCCACAGTGTCCTAACAACACGCCCACCTGGCCCACAGGAGCCCCACACTGTCCTAACACGCCCACCTGGCCTACCTTTACCTAAAAGTGCTCCCAAGTATGGAGAGCGACAGATCCCAGGCCCCATAGTTAAAGAGGGGGAAACAAGCTCAGGAAGGCAACGTGGCCATCACCACCACCACGAGGTCAGGACCCAATCCCAACCCTCGTCCTTACACCTGACACTCAGGCTCGGCGAGACCTGTGACTACGCTCAGCTCCTTACCTGGGCCTCCTGATGGGCCCAGCCTCCCTCAGGGGGCCCTCAACCCGTACAGTCCACAGATCACGGTAAGCAGATGACCTCGAGATGCACCTTTTCACGACCACCGGGGAAAGTCAAACGCACTCCATGTTCGCAGAGGCAAACCAGGCCTCGCGCCGCACGCAGAGCCAGGTCTGGGGCCCTGGGCCTGGGCTCTCCTCTGGGATCCGTGGGTTGTACCACACGACCTTTAAGGCCCCTCCAGCTCTGACGGGAATCCCGCAAGAGTCAAGCGTAGCTCTCTGAGAACAACCAGGCCCGTCTGAGCCATCCCAGGGTCCTTCGAGACTCAGGCTGGGTTTCCGGCAGAGGCATCAAAGATGTGTGATGTGAAGATCAGGTGTTGAAATGAAAAGGAGATGTCCTCTAAAAGCCTCTGTTGCCCTTAGAAAATCCAGTACATAGCACACATGATTTCACCTAAACCCCTGGGGACTCCAGTCTCACCTGGGGGAACAACTTCAACACATCACTCCTTGCTTGCGAGTGGGTCTTCCCCACCGTAACTACGCTGCCGTTTCCAGACCCCACACGCCGCCGCCTCTGGGAGGGGCCGAGGGACAAGGCCGGGTTCACACACGGCGGCGCCGGGACCTTCTCTTCTCCAGGAAGTCCCTACAAGGCCTCTGAGGACCAGATGCTTCCCTTTCTGAGCCACATGGGGTCCGGGTCACTCCAATGCTGCAGCGGGTGTGTGCACTCCCCACTAGGCCAAGCGAGGTGGGGCGTCAGGGGCCGCTGGGAGGGGCCAACCCAGGTTCTTCAAATTGGAATCCTGTTACTCACGGGAATAGGCCGTAGAAGGGTTGGTTAGGGGAACGCTAAATGAAAGGCTGCAATCTTTCTGCTGCCTCTGGCCTCTTAAGAGTCGGGGCAACCCCACACAGGATCTTGCTCTCTAAGGATTTCACGTACCTTTCTGGGAACCAGTGGTGTCAAGGGAGAGGGCTGCAGGGAAAGATGAGCTGGGTTCAATTCTCCGCTCTCCTACGCACTCTGTGATCAAAGGCCATTTCTTTATCCCCTCTGGATCTCGGCTCCTCATTTATAAAGGGAGGCTGAGCTCGATCAGTGCCTTTCAGGCCGTGTTCCCTAGGGTACCCCAGGAACCTCCGTGCGAGAAGGTGGGTGGAGGGAGGGGCGGAGGGATGGGTCTCTGACTGTATTTTGCACGTCGTGCTTCCAGAACACATTCTGTCTATAGAAAGGTTCAATTTTTAGGAGTTGGGAAGATGCCGAACTAACGTACGTGGTTCCTTCCCGCTCCGGGGCTGCCTCTGTAACGTCCTCCGGGCTGACCCACCGACGGAGCACGGTTGTTAGGGTTCCTGCCCTCCTACAGGCAGGTGGTTATGAACTCCCAGCACTAGACCGTGGAGTGTGAGGCCTGGGGCTCAGACATCCGGCTTCACTCTGCACCACAAAGGCCGCACATATTCCCCTACAAGGCACAGCCTTGGGGACACAACTGACCTCCGCCGGCCCAGCCTCACGCTGAGCAGATCCAGCCTCGTCCCACTGCCCTACCCAACCCCTGTGGAGACCCCTGTGGCGGGGGAGGGGTGTCACCAATGTAGCCTCTGCTCCAAGAATCCTGCCCAGCCTCAGTTCCCCACCTGCCGCCCTTAACGGAAATGTCTCGAGGTTCTCAATTTAGGATTGTTCATTAGGCAATCCCCTAATTCTGACTTCTAAGGAGAAGATAAACTATAGCCTGCCTGAGAGGTCCAGACAGGACTCCTTTCTCTGTGGGCGTCCAAGCTTGCTTGGGTTTTCAGCCCAGGGCAGGGACAGGGCTACTGAAATCTGCTGTTGCCTGTGGGACGTAGCCCTATTATCTGCTGTGGGGTTTGGATGGTCTATCAGTTTATCTCCTGATGTTATTTGAGCTTAACCACAAGATACCAGGCGGTCACAGGGGCCCCTCCCAGGACCTTTGTGAATCCATCAGGATGACTGAAGCCAGAGGGAAACAGTCTACGCCGTGGGAGGAGCTCAAGTTTTCCCGGGCTGTGGTGTAAGTCTTACGATGATCATCTACGCACACGCGTGCACGCGCACACTCACACGCACACTAATTTAATACTCAAAACAGGGCCCCCCGCTTACGGAGGAGAAACACTGAGGTATGCTGGACATTAAGTCATTTGTCACACAATGAACAAGGGGCCAACCTGGATTTGCAGCCACGCAGGCCGGATCCCAAGTCTACACGTCTCACTCGCGTGCCTCTCGGAAAATCACTCAGTCTTAGAACCGGAGAAGTTCAAAACTCCCAAATGCTGCTCTGAATCAACTGCATCGAAATCACCTAAGGAACTTTAAGAAAATGTTACTCCCGCCCCACCCCTGCTCCCCGATATTTACTGAATCCAAATCCGGACGGGAAGAAATCGAGTATGTACAGCACGGTGACTACAGTTAACGCTATATTAGACACTTGAAAACTGTGAAGAGAGTAGATCTTCAATGTTCTTAACACACACACACGCGCACACACACACGGTAATTATATAAGGTGACGGAGGTATTCATTAACCTTATCGTGGTGACGTTTCACGGTACGTATGTGCATCAGATCATCAAACTTACATAGAGTGCTATGCCTAGTGGATCTCAGTAAAGCTGGGAAGAAAGAAAACAATAAAACCCCCAGATCTTGGGGGCAGGTGGTGCTGGGAATCTGTGTTTTCTCAAAGTCCACTTGATGATGCTAATGCAACTGCCAAGCAGATGCCTGAGCTGGACACCCCCTCCCTGTGAGGCAAATCCCTTCTAAGGGGCCCTTGGCAAACAACCACCCCACCTGTGTTCTGATCCCTCCAAGGATGGGGCTTCTCAGCTCCCCAAAACAATCTGGATTAGAAATACTTCCTCGGCTCACACTTAAATCTGTTCCCCTGAAGCTACCCCTTAAAGCTGTTTCTATTGGTTCCAATTCTGGACCACAAAACTGCATTGAACCTAACTGGCTCCCACTCCCATGTGCCCCACCTCCCAGAGCATGCCAGCCCTGCTCCTGGTCTTTGTCAGCCACCAGATGTCCCCAAGGACTCTCCTTTTTGAGCCTCCCTTAAGCCACTCCTTCTAGGGCACTATGTTGTAACTTCCCTTCTCCTTTCTCTGAATGAATCCGTGCTTCTTTCTGTCTTTCTTTCTTTCTTTTTTAAAAGGAAGCATCCAGAAATGAATTCAGGACTACAGGAGTATAACTGAAATTTCCTCTTTGGGTTTTAGTCTCTGCAATTATACAAAGGAAACACTACCTCTTCCCCCTGCCTTCCAAGGTGTTAATGAGACTGGTACCGAATCACACCCGTTATGGAGCTCTGCAAAAGCTCTCCACGCACCAGGGGTCCCATAGTATGTGGGCATAGCACTTACCTCTCCCAATCTCTCTGCTACCCTTTTGCATTATTAATAAACACCCAAATCAAAGCAAAATAACAAAATCCACTTCTCTGACCAAGAACCCCTTAGCTAGAAATCAAGACATCTGGGTCTTATTCCCAACCGGCTGTGTGACCACGGATGAGACAGTCCTTTGTAGGCTCTAGGAGGAATGAGTGAGCAAGCTATCCCCCAGGGATCTAAGAGCTCCAGTAAACGCTTGTAACTTCTGCTAGTTGTAGCAGCCATGAGCCAGCCTGTACAGTGCCTTACCAGTCCTTCTGTGACACATTCTGGTTGTAAATGTGCCCACTGATGTTTCTGTATGGTGGACAGATGCATTTGCAACGGATATCTTCAGAGCTCTGGAAGAGAAAGCGCAGGGTAGGCAGGTAGGCACGTAGGCAGGGCCCTGGGGTTCAGTTCTGGCAGGACTTCCAACTTTGAATTCCCCGTTCCATACATGAATGCTCTTGACCGACCCTTCCTATCCCCAAGTTCAGCAAGGAGTGACTTCTGCAGAAAAGGATGCTACCATCACAGGACCCTCAAAACAGAAACTGCCCAGGTGGGAAGTGAGGCCGACAGAAAACCGTGTGGGGCTGCCATTCCCTAGCAGGGTGCTTGGGAGCTGGGGTGTGTGTGGCCAGCAAAGTGACAGCCCGCTGTACTCTGGACCCCACACCTGCTGTGTGCACCTTGGCCCCGGAATCTTGATGGTTGAGCCCCCATCCCATCTCCAAATTCCTACTAGGTTAGGACTGGGGGAAGGCAGAGGGCAGGGGTGAACAAGAACAAAACGCATCATTTCCACGGGAATCCCCAAGCGACCCCTTAAAAAAGTTCTTCCTCTCTGAAATGGGTAAGAGACAACAACAACACGACTATTTCCATCTCATGCCAGTCGGGAATTCCCCAGAGGGACTGGAAGCAAACCCTCAGACTCAATCTTACATAAGGCCTTGGTGACCTTCAGAGTTCCAAATTCCTTAGAGCTACCCAAGCCCAGCTCCGGGTCATGCACCGCTAAAGAATGGCAATTTCTCAGGAGTCCCAGGCGCTGAGGTTGGTCACTCTGGGTAAGGGGAACCTCCAGCTGTGCAAGAGGCTTTCCCAGGACGGGAGCAAGGGGAGCACTGTCCGCTCGCTAGGCTCCTTGAGTCTCCTTAGTAGGTAGAGTCCCTGTTTACCCAGGAGCAGGGGGAGGGGGCGGGGGGGGGGGCTCCTCCAAATGCAAACTCCCTGGGCTGCCTCCATCCAGGGGCGTGCTCAGGGCTCCACCCCTCTCCCGCGCCACCCCTGGGAGGCCTGCAGCCCCGAGCAGGGCCCACACAGGACGGCCAGGCCCGGTCCGCAGGCAGGGGGTCGCGCCCCAGGTGCTGCAGGCTCACCCCCCTCACCTTGTTGGCTTGAGCTGGGGACAACAGCAGGCAGGCGACCACGGCCACCAAACACAGGAGCTTCATGCTGACCAGGCCTGGGGGGCCGGGCGGGCCGACACCTGCGGGAGACAGAGGGAGGGAGTGGGGCTGCCTCCCGCCCCGGCCCCCGCCTCCCCTCGCCCCTGCGGCGGCCCCGCGTCCCTAGGACCAGGCCCGGCCCCTCGCAGCCGCCCCGCCGCGCTCCGCCGCCCGGGCCCGGGGATCGCTCGGGGCGCGCAGGACCCCACCTCGCCAGGGGCCTCGGGCCGGCCTGCGCCCCCGCGCGCCCCCGAGATGCCCCCGCATCGCTCCCCGGGCGCGCTGCCCACCTGCGAGCCCTGCGCCGCCGCCGCCGCCGCCGCCCCGGCGAGCCCCGCCCCCTCCCGGAAAGCCCCGCCCCCTCCCGGCCCCCATTGGCCGCCCGAGCCGCCTCTCAGCCCGAGGGGCGGGGCCCACTCCCCCGCGGCGCCCGGGCTCCCGCGCAAGGGACGGGGGCGCATTTCTCCAACCCGACCGGGCAAGAAAAGGGAGCGTCGGCCGCCCCGACAGACGCGGGGAGCGTCTTCCTTTGCGCGGGCCTGTGAAGCGCCCGCGGCTCGCCCCGGCCCTCCTCGTCTCGCAGACCTGGGGGCCGCAGGGCCCCGGTTGGATCCATCTTGTTGGTGTTTTGTAGAGAAAGCACGTTGGACGCGATGAGCTGGAGCCAACAGCAAAACCCTTAGAATCCCGATAAAGGGCTTTGTCCTCACTCACCGTCTGGGAATGTTAGGGATGCGCATCTCTGCAGCACAGGACTCCCCCGGGCTCCACCTCCACTCTCCCCCCACCCAGCGCCCGGAGGAGGAGGGGGAGGCCGCGGTGGCGGGGAGGTGGTGGGCTGGGCCTGGCTTAACCGGTCTCCCTGCCCCAGGGCGCTCTGGACCTGCAGACTGGGGCGAGGTGTGCAAGGCCAGGATGGGGCGTGGGGAGTGGAAGGTTGGGGAGCACGGGGGGGGGGGGGTGTGTGTGCAAGGCCAGGATGGGGCGTGGGGAGCGGAAGGTTGGGGAGCACGGGGGGGGTGTGCAAGGCCAGGATGGGGCGTGGGGAGCGGAAGGTTGGGGAGCACGGGGGGGGGGTGTGTGTGCAAGGCCAGGATGGGGCGTGGGGAGCAGAAGGTTGGGGAGCACGGAGGGTGTGCAAGGCCAGGATGGGGCGTGGGGAATGGAAGGTTGGGGAGCATGGAGGGAAGTCGGCTGCCAGGAGCAGAGGGGAACAGCTTGCCAGCCCTGAAGGGAACAGGAGCCACCTGAGTGCAGGGCACCAGGGCCACAGGGAGGACACCTGGGCTTTGGGCCTGGCTTTGCCACTAAGCAGGTATGTTACTCTGGAAAAGCCACCTCCTCTTTCTGGGCCTCAGTTTCCTTATCTGTAAAATTAGTTGGTAGGCCACTAAGGTCCCTTTCAACTTTGAAATTTTGGGGTTCCTGGGAGCAGCTTGATACAGCGCCCACTGGATGGCCCCGCTCTGGCTGCGGCAGGCAGAACCAAGCCCCTCCCGGCACCGTGGGGAGGCCTTTGTATTTGTTTCTCCTACCAGGTCTCATGCCTCCTTAATTCTCACCCCCTGGCTGACCACCCTACCCTTGGTGGGTGCTTGGGAAATGTCTGCTAAACGGAATTGGGGAGAATTGAGTTAAACCTCATTGGACAGCAGGCAGGAGGCACAATGGTGTGACGAAGTCATGGCTCAACGACTACAGCACCGATCCTGGTTTCCCCCTTCCTAGGTGTGAGGATTCGGGTGCTTGGCTTATCCTCTAGGGGAGCTTCGGTTTCCGTATCCATAAAACGGGGCTAATATCACCTACCTCTCAGGGTTGTGATGAGGGTGTAATGAGTCCATGTTGGCAAAGCACCGGGAACGTGACTAGCCCAAGGAGGGCGAGGGATCTGTAGATGGAGATGGTAGGTCATTCTGGGGGTCAGAGTGTCTGCTTCGGTGAGTAGGCTGGGGCAGGGACAGGAGGCCGCCACATGGGGGTAGAAAGGACACTTCAGACACTGGAAAAATACCCTCTGACTCCCAATTTCTCTCTTATGTGGAGGTGGCGATGAAAGCAATGGAGCCGAGCCTGTCACCTCCAAGGCATGCCCTTGTGACACCCAACACGAAAAGCGCCCAATGCTAAATTCACTGTTTTGCTCCTCTGATGGAGGCCAGGCCTTCATCATCCTGCCTTTCTCAGGCCCCAGATTCTGGTGTCCAATTATCTTTGATTCCGCATCTGCTGTCTCCACATCTAGTCTGTCTAGGTGTCCCCCGGGGGCAGCTATCATCCCCCCCCCCGCCTGCATCCTGCCACAGCCAGCACCCTGCTCCCTGAAATACGCTCCCTTCCTCTGTGCTCCTGCTTCCATCCCGTCTTCCTCCAACCCTGTTTTCAGCACGTTGCTCCTTGCTCGGTAGTCCCTGGTAGCACCCTGTCGCCTCAGATCCAGACACGCCACCCGGCATCCGAGCCCTGGTCACCATTTTCACCCTCCCCTACTCTGTCTCATCTCTGGTTACTCCCCACCAGCCGTCTTTCCCGTGTTTGACTTTGCTCACACCAGTCCTCCCATAGGATGTCCTCACCCCCTCCGCCCTGCCAATTCTTACCCTTCATTTCTTTTTTTCTTTCTTTTTTTTTTAATTGGAGTTCAGTTTGCCAACATATAGCATATCACCCAGTGCTCATCCCATCAAGTGCCCCCCTCAGTGCCCATCACCCACTCACCCCAACCCCCGCCCACCTCCCCTTCCACCACCCCTAGTACGTTTCCCGGAGTTAGGAGTCTCTCATGTCCTGTCTCCCTCACTGATATTTTCACTCATTTTCTCTTCTTTCCCCTTTATTCCCTTTCACTATTTTTTATATTCCCCAAATGAATGAGACCATATAATGTTTGTCCTTCTCTGACTGACTGACTGACTTCACTCAGCATAATACCCTCCAGGTCCATCCACATCGAAGCAAATGGTGGGTATTTGTCGTTTCAAAAGGCAGAGGAATATTCCATTGTATACATAGACCACAGCTTCTCTATCCATCATCTTTCGATGGGCACCGAGGCTCCTTCCACAGTCTGGCTATTGTGGACATTGCTGCTAGAAACATTACCCTTCATTTCTTTCCAAACCTCTGCCCCAAGGGCTTCTTTTCCAGAAACTTTTCCCGGGGAGCCCTCGTTGACCCATTCGCACACTTCCTTCCTGGGCCCTATGACTAAGAACCAGACTCTTGAGATGAGTCTGAACCTATTTATTCAATTCAATTCCACCAAATGTGCCAAGCACTGTCAAGATGCCCCAGGGGACACAACAGACAGGCCGCATGTGAACCCTGCTTTCAAGAAGTGTAGAGTCTCGCAGAGGAGAAATCATATGGTTGGGGGATGTAACTTCAAATAGAAAGTGATGTGTCATAGAAGAGTTGTCCCCCCTCAAAATATTTTTGAGCACTATACGCCAGGCAGTGTGCTAGGTCCTGCTCTCATGGACCTCGAAGCATATTACAGGAAAATGACAAATCAACAAGTAATGACAATTCCAGGTACGGTGGGGAAGATCTGCAGGGCTGGTGGGAAACCTAGACCAAGGGCCAGAGGAGCCCAGAATGGTAGCGAAGAGGCTTGGAAGTTAGTGGGGGCTACTTGAGCTGGCCCAGGGTGGTAGGCAGAAGAGTGGCCCTGCCCAAAATGTCCACATCCTAATCCCTAGAACCTGTGAATAGATTACCTTCCATGGCAAAAGGGATTTTACAGATGTAGTTAAATGAAGTTCGTGGGGATGGGGAAAGTAGCCTGGATTATTCAGATGAGCCAAATCTAATTAGAATGAGTCCTTAAAAAAAGGGAAGCCTTTTCTGGTTGTGATGAGAGAAAGAGATGTGACAATGGAAGCAGGGTCAGAGGAATTGAAGATGGCAGGGGCCACGAGCCAAGGAATGAGGGCAACGTCCAGAAGCTGGGAAGGGCAAGGATCAGAATCTCGCCCCCCTTGCCCCTGCCCCGGAGCCTCCAGAAGGAACTTCATTTTAATACAGTGACAGGTGTGTGGACTTCTGACCTACAGAACTGTGAGATAATAAATCTGTGTTGTTTGAAGCCACCAAATTCATGGTAATTCGTTGCAATAGAAATGAATAGAAAACTAATACAGCCAGGAGGGTGGTCAAGATTTGGAACAGAATTCAGGAGCAGGGTGACAGTGGGGAAGGACATTCCAAGGGGAGGGGGAGTAGGAAGAGCAAAGAGATGGTACCGGGAACATACATGTAGGGGAGGAGCAAATGGTTCAGTTTGGCTCAAACAGGGCAAGTGGATGGGAAGGGAGGGCAGAAAGATAAACCAGGGCCAGAACTTCATGACAGCAGAGGATCCATGTGAGCCAGGGAATGACCCCAGGGCCCTGGCTTGGGGTTTGCACAGGGCTAGGACCAGGCAACCTCAGGAATGTGCTGCCTCCAGCAGAGGAAGCTGAATGGAGCTCTGAGCTTCCTGCTGCCTCCTCCTGGGACTATCGGTCTCCATCCTGCATCTTGCTCTCCACTCCCAGATTTGAAGCTCTGGGACTTAGACCACAGCCCAGACCCTTGGATTCCCTCTCTGGTGCCTGCCTTTACCCCAACAACCCTAATAGCAGTTGGCCTGAAAAGGCCAGGTCTTAGTGTCTGTGCCAGAGCTGAAGGTCTGGGGTCCTCCTGGGGATGCTTGGTTCTCCTGAGGAGGGACTTGTCATCACCCGCAAACGGTGCCTGCTATCCCTGACGTCGGTGCCCCTGCTCTTTCTCTACGCCCCAGCATAGCTTATCTGTCCGGTGCCTTTTAGCTCAAGCTCCCATGAAATGATTAACTGCCTAATTCATGCGCCGACACCCATGCTCTAGTCCCACCAGGGAATAGCTACAACTAAAGCATCATCCAACCTAAGCAGAGAATGAAGCTCAAGGGCTAGAATTCAGATACTTGTAACAGGCTCTAAGGGACAGTGATTTGGAGTACAGGCAAGCCCTTGATCTACCTAATAGGAAGTCATCACTCTACCCATAGATGGCGGGTCAGGGGCCCAGGGATGTCCTTGAGATGATGTGGGCACCATCCTCAGATACCCTGGGTATGTCCGCTGTCTCTGACCACAGCAGGATTTTTCAGGCATCAGGGGGCACAGAGCTGAAGGCAGAGGGTACCCAGCGTAGAGTCGACTCTCCCAGCTTGGCATCAGCCTGAACACGTGTACTCTTTTTTTTTATCTGGGCCCCCAAAGTAGCCTTTGCACAGATAGGCTGCTCTCCCATGACCAACTGGCTAA